TTGAGACTGTAGTGAGGACAGAGTCATTGAGACTGTTGTGAGGACAGCATCAATAAGGCTGTAGTGAGGACAGAATCATTGAGACTATAGTGAGGACAGAGTCATTGAGACTGTTGTGAGGACAGCGTCAATGAGGCTGTAGTGAGGACAGTGACATGGAGACTGTAGTGTGGACAGTGACATTGAGACTGTAGTGAGGACAGAGTCACTGAGTCTGTAGTGTGGACAGTGTCATTGAGACTGTAGTGAGGACAGTGTCATTGAGACTATAGTGAGGACAGTGTCATTGAAACTGTAGTGAGGACAGAGTCACTGAGGCTGTAGTGAGGGCAATGTCATTGAGACTGTAGTGAGGACAGTGTCATTGAGACTATAGTGAGGACAGTGTCATTGAGACTGTAGTGAGGACAGTGACATTGAGAATATAGTGAGGACAGTGACATTGAGACTGTAGTGAGGACAGTGTCATTGAGACTGTAGTGAGGACAGAGTCATTGAGACTGTTGTGAGGACAGTATCAATGAGGCTGTAGTGAGGACAGAGTCATTGAGACTGTAGTGAGGACAGTGACACTGAGACTGTAGTGAGGGTCGTGTCATTGAGACTGTAGTGAGGACAGCGACATTGAGACTGTAGTGAGGACAGCGACATTGAGGCTGTAGTGAGGACAGTGACATTGAGACTGTAGTGAGGACAGTGTCAATGAGGCTGTAGTGAGGACAGTGACATTGAGACTGTAGTGAGGACAGAGTCACTGAGGCTGTAGTCAGGACAGTGACATTGAGACTGTAGTGAGGACAGCGACATTATGACTGTAGTGAAGAGAATGGGATATGGATTATAGAACAGTGTTAGTGCACAGACCTTGAGCAGCTGTCTCGGTTTTCAGTAGACACCATGGCATTGTCTGATATCAGGGTGAACAGTTTCTCGCTATCACTGAGCTGGGGATAAGCCTCAATTAGCCCATTTGTTAATGAGTGTATGTCCCATTGTGTCCCCGCTCCCAAATCACAACAATGTTCCACTCGGATATGGGTGATGTATGTTCTAAAATCCTCAGTACGAGGGAGAGCAGGCTCTCTATACACTTCTCACAATAATACATGCTGCTGGGACATAGGGATGGTCAGCATCGAAATGTACTCACTCTGTGCTCAGTGATCCCATGGGTTTATATCCAGTTTACAGGGAAACTGGGCAGAAAATTCGCATCTCAGCAGAGGCTTTATTCTGTCCTTTGTGTTCATCAAGAATGAGGGAAATAACTAATATTCCAGTGTGAAATGACTGAGATCCCAGTGAGAAATGACTGAGATCTCAGTGTGAAATGACTGAGATCCCAGTGAGAAATGACTGAGATCTCTGTGTGAAATGACTGAGATCCCAGTGAGAAATGACTGAGATCCCGGTGTGAAATGACTGAGATCCCAGTGAGAAATGACTGAGATCCCAGTGTGAAATGACTGAGATCTCGGTGAGAAATGACTGAGATCCCAGTGAGAAATGACTGAGATCTTGGTGTGAAATGACTGAGATCCCAGTGAGAAATGACTGAGATCCCAGTGTGTAATGACTGAGATCCCAGTGAGAAATAACTGAGATCCTAGTGTGAAATGACTGAGATCTCGGTGAGAAATGACCTTTGTGAATGTGAGATGGTGGTTTTCGTGATTGTGTCACCATTACCACTTCCCGTTTCCTGGGGATTGGAGCAAGAGGGAAAGACATCATTCCCAACATCCAAACATCTGGAATAATGGGACCCCGCCTTCAACAATTCAGACCCTCCCTTGGAATTGTGTCAGTGGGGTCACTCAATCTCCCGGCCTGGATTCTGATATCCGCGGAGTCTGTGGGAAAACACACTCTCGGGGAATTTTACTCCAATCAGTAACTTTATCCCAATTGATAGGATGGGCTCCTGCCAGGAGCTTTTCCTTACCTCAGCCTCAGTCAGAGAGAGTCCAGCATCACCTTTGCTTAACCTGGTGTACATCTCTGTAAAAGAAAACAGCGTGTATTACTGACACTCCTCTCCATGGAGCGGTCACAGCCTTAAATAAAATCAGAGCCCTTCTTACTGTGAGGCAACAGATCTGAGGGTCGAGAAGGGAGATTGGAAAAGGAGCCGTATGGTGGCAGGAATGGGAATAGCAATGGGAAGAGTATTAGGTGGAGAGCTGGGCTCGGATACCTGCTGTTGGAGAGATGGGGCAACGTGTGAGGGGTTCTGGGGGCAGATGGGGAGAAGCACTGGGTGAAAACCTGAAGGAGAGTTTGGGGAGAGATGTGTGAGGGGAGACATGAGGGAAGATGAGGCGGCTAGGGGTAGGAATCGCTGAGCTATCAAAATTGTGCAGCACGCTGTGATGACTGGGTCTTCCTGAATAAGGACTGTCCCCATCTGACACGTCCACGACCCCTCAGTATCCCCCAGATCCCCCACCCACCCACCATCTCCCCCAGGACTCCCCCGTCACTGGCAGGACACCCCTGTCTCCCCCAGGACACCATCCCACCTTCCCCAAGGCACCCTGTCTCTGCCAGGCCCCGCTTCTCTGTGAGAACACCCCATCTCCCCCAAGGACCTCCACTTCCCCAGAATGCCCCAGTGTCCCCTAGAACGAACCCAGTCTTCCCCAGAACACCCTGTCTCCACCAGAACAATCCCCCGCCATCTCTGCCAGAACTCCCCAACTCCTCCAGGACACCCCCATCTCCCTAGAAACCCCCATCTCCACCAGGACACTTGTCTCTGCCAGGAACCCCCATCACCCCAACGCCGCCATCTCCCCAGGATCCCCCATCTCTGCCAGAATGCCCCATCTTCCCCAGGACACCCCTGTCTCCCCCAGGACACCGCAGTTTCCCCCAGGACAGCACCCCCAACTCCACCAGGATACCCCCTGTCCCCAAAGGACCCCCTTCTCCCCCAGGACCTCCTGTTTCTGCACTACACTGCCCCCTTGTCCAACATACTGAGGGAACAATGTATCAGTTACAGGGCAATAACGCCCCTCATTTACATTTCCCTTCAGCAATCCTGCTAGAATTCTCGTGAAAGTAATATAAACACTGATAGATCAGTGTTTAATCAAGCTTTGAAAGGAGATCTAATGCAGTCTGGAAAGGAGACTGTGGGTGTTAAAGGAGGCCTGTGAGTGTGTAAAGAAGGCCTGTGGATGTGTAAATGAAGCTGTGAGTGTGTAATTGAGGTCTGTGGGTGTCTAAATGAAGCTGTGAGTGTGCAAGGGAGGCCTGTGGGTGTGTAAATGAAGCTGTGAGAGTGTAAGGGAGGCCTGTGGGTGTGTAAATGAAGCTATGAGTGTGTAATTGAGGCCAGTGAGTGTGTAAATGAAGCTGTAACTGTGTCAGGGAGGCCTGTGAGTGTGTAAATGAAGCTGTGTGTAAAGGATGCCTGTGGGTGTGTAAAGGAGGCCTGTGGGTGTGTAAATG